TCATGATACGTTATATGCGATAGTAGTAGAGTTCGTTGTTAGGACCGCAGGGTAGTCAGATACCCCAGAAACGTCTGACAGTATGTGATGATATGTTTGTATGTTGGCCTGTTATGTTATGCGATAGAGGTAGCAGGAGGGGACCAGTCCCCGAGGATCGGTTGTTAGGACCGATGGGTAGTCAGCACCCCAGAATGGCTTGACATGGGTAGTCAGCACCCCAGAATGGCTTGACACGGGTAGGATGGCACCCCAGAATGGCCGTATGGGTAGGTCGGCACCCCAGAATGGCCGTACCGGGTAGTCAGGCACCCCAGAATAGCCTGGCAGTACATATGTTATGTGTTTGTATGGTATGTGGTACGTTGGGGGAACTCACTAAGCTTTGTGCTTACGTTTACAGTTTTTTTTTCAGGTACCTCTTCACCGAAGGGGAAGGAGCCGGCGCGGTAGCGGCACATCATGCACACACTCTGGTTTCCGCATTTACGAGATTCACTGGGATTGTACTCTGATATTTTAATGGGATGTATGGTTTGACTTTTTAAAACAAGGTTTTGTTTATTAATGTTTTCTAAAGTAATATTTTAAAATGAAATTTTCGGACATGAAAATTGGGTCGTTACATCTTATCTTAAGTTACATGCTTATAGTGATGCTGATTAAGATGGTGATCGCCATGATAGTAAGTCCACCACTGGATTTTGCGTATTTCTTGGAGAGTCTCTCATTTCATGGAAGAGCAAGAAACAGGACGTTGTCTCTAGATCTTCCATGAAGGCTGAATATCATGCTATGGTTGTAACTACATGTAAGATTATCTGGTTACAGTGACTGCTTGCGGATATGGGAGTTCATATTTCTTCACCTACCCCCTTGTATTGTGATAACAAAAGTTCGATACAAATTGCAAAGAACTCCGTTTTCATGAGTGGATGAAGCACATTGAGATTGATGGTCATTTTACTCGTCATCAGTTCTAGCTCGGGACCTTATCGATTATGTTTGTTTCATCAACCTTGCAGCTTGCGAATATTTTTACGAAGGCTCTATCGGCTTCTCGGTTTCGGTTCTTATGTGACAAACTCTCAATGCTTATTGTCGTGACATTGTGAGTTTGAGATGGAATGTTAGCCTATATATTATTAGTCTACTTGTTTATGGGCCCTTTAGTCTTTAGCTCATTAGGTTTTGTCTAGCTAGTATATGTCGCTTTAATGTTTGTAGTCTTTATGCTTTCCATTCGGAACCCTTGTAATTTCTCTTTATTATAATCATATGACAATGTTATTAATGAGGTCAAGATAAGCGGAATTCAATTATGTTTTAACAAATGATGTAGAAGTGATGGTTGTCAAGTTTGTCGACATGGTCATATCGAAAGGATTTGATATCACACTTGAATTGATTATGAAGATATTCACAAAAGTGAAGAAATTTGGTAAAAACACCATACTTGTTGCGTAAAGGATACACCTGAAAAAAAAAGAATATTGGTTTAAAATCATGACATAATAGTGTATTGGCCCATTTCCAACTTTTCAAAGATTCAAACCATAAGGAATCGTTACGAATCTTGATAATTGAAAAAGTTTTCTACCTCGACATCATTATTTGAGTCAAGTTTTACTTTTACAGTAAAACATATATTTGATTGTAATAAGAAATAAGAATCTATGTTTCTTTTCAAATAGAATTGTAAATGGTTTAAATCAAATAAGCTAAATAGATTGAACAATAATAAGAAATATCATTGTTATATATTTAAATTTGAATATTTTAGGATTAATTGCAAATTTTTTCTCACAAAAATAGAAAGATTATTGTTATTGAAATAGGATATCAATACATACCCATAGGCTAAGCACTTTCTTGTTCTATATGTATTTTCATATTTTGTTTAACGTGAGGTTATGTAATCTTTCTACAATTGTGCTATATTCCACATCTTATCTTTATCTGGATCACAAGATGATTAAAATGTCACTGAGACTAGTAATAGATGAATTTCAAATATCATAATGAACCCTATCAAACATTGAATAAACATTTATATTTAAATTAATAAAAGGTAAATGAATGTGTTTTCTAAAATGACTCGCATGACATGAAAAATTAGCATTGTTTTTTATTACAATAAATAAAATGACATTACATTAATGACTTAAGGGCATGAGCACTAAGGTGGACCAAACTTTGATGTGCAACTGGTGACCGAGACTTAATGGTCAGATATAGGTCACATGAGCTTACACATCGAAGAAGGATATGCCGGGTGCGGAAAGCCTTCATAGAAAATCTAAATTTGTCAAATTCAAAGATAACTTTAATGTCTCCGGTCTGAGATTTTCAAAGGTTTATGGGATTTTGTAAGTTTTGATTGCACGACATGGGTGACTGTTATGGATGACCATTACCCACTAATATCATCCTTACTATGGAACACCAAGTTCCAAGTAAATAACACCTTTACGTTTTGGTAATTCAAGTCTTAAATAATGAATTTTGTGGTCACCATAACGTGACAAATGATGCACCATGGCATGGTCACGGCCAGATGAAACGCCCATTCATTAGGGTCCCCACGACATGTCATGATGTTAGCCACGACATGGCGACAGCCAAGTCGTAAAACCCTAATTTTCAGGATTTAAGGCCTATTTAAGGGATGTGATGGTTAGGGCTTGCACACCCTCAGCCTCCATCACATCCCTTTCGACCTAAAAGCACCCATAGCCAACGATGTTGAGTTTTTGAAGTTTTATGGTGGTATTTGGTGAAAAGAAGAAGAATAAGGCATCCATTGTGTGAATATTCAGCAAGCAAGCCCCTCCTTCACTTTCTAGTTCATTTTCTGGACCATTATGAGTCTTCAAGTTTCAACCTTTATGTTTCATGCTTCTAGATCTAGGTTGATTTGCATTATTCTTCAAGATTGGTATAATTTGAGTGGTTAAACTCCTTAAAGTTGGAAACTTTATGGCTCATAGGGTCCACTTAGGGATATATGTTCCAGATTTGAAGATTAATAGAGTCTTGATGTTATGCATGGAGTTTTAGGTCTCATTTCCTCCATTGTTGACCTAGTTGGAGTTCAATACATACAGTGGACATGCATGTCTATAAAGCACCGATTTTTATAACTTATTAGGTGAGGGAAAGCCTTTTGGAAAGTATGGATGGGTAACTTGAAGGATTAAAAGTTTAATACATTAAGTTGGCCAGAACAGTTCCCAAGACGTGGAGGTTTAATTCATACGACGTGGCGTTAGGTGGTCTCCAAAATTGTTTTATTATGGGGTCACCACTAAGCGGGAAATGCTTGGCCATGACATGGTGACCAACTGATGGACTTTTTACCATTGGCTTTTTTTACCAATTCGCTTTCGGTCAACTTGAGGGCTTGGGCTTTGGATTGAGAATTGGTCAATGGTTGTTGTATATGTGACTCGTAGTACCAGTTCTTGGATTGTGTGAGTTGTACTCTTATCTGCTAGGTTGCAAGGTGAGTTCTCTCACTATACTTTGTACTATAGTATGTATTTTTGTGTGTAGGATGTTGGTATGCTGTAGTGATCTAGTAGATTGGTAGATCTGTTATGATTAACTTTATTGTTGATTATTGTTTGTTTGTTTGCATGTGTCGATATATTATGGTTGGGTTGAGGCGGACCTGCTTTGTGCTGTAGGCCATGATAATCGGGTGGTCCATGTGTATGGTAGGCCTTGCGAGGCGCTCCGGTCAAACTGTAGGCCTAAGGGAGCGGTCCAGCTTCCGTAGGACTTGCGAGGCGGTCCAGTAGGCTATATGCTCAGTAGAGCGATCCAGTATCCTGTAGGCCTTGCAAGGCGGTCCAAACAGACTAAAGGCTCATGGGTGTATATGTTATATGTGTATTGTTGTGTGGGGTATTTCATTGGAACTCACTAAGCTTTGGCTTACAGTTGTGGGTTTAAATGTCTCAGATACTTTGGATGATTGGAGAAAGACGAAGGCGTGATCGTGAAAACTATCGTATGGATTTATGTTGAGAGATATTATTGAATACTCTATTTTTTATGACTATGTTTTGGAAACAATGTTTTGTATGACTTATAGTTTTTATGAAAATGACTTTTGAAAAATCAAAATTTTTACTATGGTTTTTGGGACGTTACATACTACCTCCTGTCCTTTCTCATCAACATAGTCGTCCCGCACCTATCTTTATTATTTCCTATGTGTGATTTTGGTCCATTATCCTAGTCCTTGGCATTTCTGCCTCTCGTAGCTCCAACGGAATTTTTTTGTCCCGTGTTGCTTTTGCTTAAGAGATTCTTGTGTGTGTTGACATAACCACGTGTAACCCTTGTAGTACCCCCACTGACATGAAACCCAAGCTTTCCACTGTTGGATATCTGATCTCTAACCCCAAGCCCGGAGCCTTTTCGAAGCTTTATAATATATGGCATTCACTCATTCATATATATCTTATGTTGTCTAAGAAGTCTGCCCTCCGTGTTATGCACTTCATCACTCTCATATGCAATCCTACGGTACCTCAAAGGCAATTTGATGCACGACATTCACATTCTTGTACTAGTCATCGACCACTTGGTCTCATATTCTGATGTTGATTTGGTTGGCAGCTCCATGACATTTCAATCCACCTCTAGGTTATACATATATCTTGATGATAAGCTCCAAGTCCTCAAATGACAACATGTTTTTTCCCATTACAATGTCGAGTTTGAGTACTGGGGTAGCTAATGTTGTGCCAAAAGTGGGTCGCCTTCAAAATCTTCTACTCAAGCTTTCTTGTTCATTTTTCGAAGCCACTGTTGTTTTTTGTGATAATGTTAGTACAATGGATTTAGATTCAAACCCAATACAACACCAGCATACTAAGCATGTAGAAATTGATTCACACTTTTTTATATTGAGATCAATACAAACATAAACCATACAAGAGTTTTCTACAATATCAAACAATAATATAATACTAACTACCAATTTTTTTGTTTAGTTGATAACATGTTGATTGTTTTTCTTAGTATAAATAAGAGCCCTAACCTGTATTGTATGAATTGTTACATCACATATGAAGAACAAATACTTTTGTTCTATCCAAACTATCAAAGTCTTTCATCGCAAAATCATTACATTACCTTCTCTTATTGTATCCATATTTAACTGTATAAGAACTAATAGAAGGTTATGTCCATTTTTACACTATACTCGACTAATTATGATATCGATCAAAACCAAACTAAGCAAAATCATATCCATTTACAAGGTTTGATGACTTTTTTCATATGTATCCCCTCTGACCATGATACATAATTCATCACATATTTTATACATGACACACTTTATAAAATGATATACCTTGTTTTTTATTGTTAAAGTGATCAATTCAATAAGATTATAATGTATTATAATTATTTTAAAAATAAGAACAAAAGGACTAAACCAAGAAAATAGCATTTCTTTTTCACCTAAAGATCTTGAACAAAATCTAAGAAAATTTTTGTAAATTTATTCACGTTCTTGCCATTTACCATTATTCTAATTCATGTTTATAGGAATACCACTTTGATTATATATATATTCTAAACAACCAAACTCTTTAAGACGATTTCATATACGTTCTTTGAGAGCCCATTAGCCGACATAATCATCTCCAGTTGTGCCTGATTTTCCATTTTCGTCAAGAATTAGCAGCATACTTTAAATTTCTTTCTCTTTTTGTTTATTATATCATATGATAATTAAAGGTCAAGGCTCATTACCTTGGCAAGATTTTGGCGGGTATCGTCATAACGCTTCCATCTAGAAAATGATGAAACCACCCCAGATGCCATCTGGATCAAAACAAGGGAAAAATGGTAACTTCAACGACCCCATAAGTTTTGTATTGTTAAAGGGTTAGATGCAGGAGATGACAACATCGTTTTGTTTTTTGTTCATACTATAGCATCCTACTTTCAGTTCTCCCTACTATAGCATTGTACTTTATATAATCTACCTAATCATAGCAATTTACTTTCAATTTTTTTTCTTATTAAGACATTGTACTTTGAAAATCCACCCAAAATAACAATGTCATACAAAGCAATTTTCAGAGTATAATGTCCTAATAAGAAAAAAAAACTAAAATACAATGTCGCAATATAAAGAAATGTAAGCAAATAACTACAATAAAGAAAGTACGTTGCAATTTGTTTTTTCTTGCATTTATTCCTATTGTAAAATGTTGTATAGTGATTAAGGGTGTCTTAAATTCTGATTTTGGTATGACACAAACGAAGAAAGATAAAGAAAGGTAATTTAAGTTATTTTCACCTGAGGATTTAGTTTGTCAAGCTGTAGCACAAATTCTCCCACGAATTTGTAGCCTGACCCGTCTTTAGCGTGGAAGTTAACATATGATGCGCAGAATCCTCCAATAATCGAAAACATCTGTCCAAAATCAAAGTTCAAGAAAATACATAATCACATTTAATATATTAAATGCGATTACAAAAGCTATCATTCAAAATAGTGAGATTCAATTTTAATATTTCTTATTGTAGCCTTAATTGGGATTGGGTTTTAATCATCTTTTATTGTGAATTTATTTAGGTTATAATTACAACATGTATAAAGTAGATTTGAGATAATATATAATGTTTAAATATAATAAAAAAATCATATAAAAAACCATTTCAGTCCTACACGCCAACCAACAGGAGCATTAGATATTTGAATGTAATTCCTCATTTCATTACTCTGTCCATTCCATTCCTTCCAACTAAACATACGATTAGAGTATGATTCAACTTCTAAACCATTAAAACACATTTATCTTTTCAGTAATTGTTTTCTTTTTCTTCAAATTCTACCCGATTGATCCTTATCATTCATATAAAAACTCAAACCAACTCATATTCCCATATAAAATGGTAACCGAAATGAGACTAGAGTTCTGACCTTGTTGGCATTTGTTAGGTCAAATGATGGATGATCCAAAAGTTTCTTAACATTCTCAACATTCCCAGGAATATCTGATGCAGATTGAAGCGAAAGCCACTTGTTAACAACCTAAAAAAAAAAACATAAAAAATATCCATTTTTTATTTCAATAAATCTAAATAAATTACATAAAGTAACAATTTACCAAGAAGTCATGTTGCCATTTGTTATAAAAGTCAGCCAAAGCATCTTCACGAGCTTTACCCGGTTTTTGAGCAATGGCTGCAAGAGCTGAGAATTGATCTGTCATATTTGTTGCACTTTTGTATTCATTCAACACAAGCTCACTCATTTCTTCATCTTCAAGACACGCAAGATACCCTTTTTTTCCAAAAAAAAAAAAAAAAAAGAGTCAAAATCAAAAACATCAGCACTTGTCAATATAAAAAAAGGGATAAATGCAAGAAATAACAACATCCTTTCGTTATTTGTTTATGATACTTATAACACCCTACTTTAATTTCTTTCGACTATTACATTGTAGTTTTGATTTTGATTAAGGCATTATACTTCCAAAATTGTACCCAATTATAGCATTGTACTTATAACTTTTTTTTTTCTTATTAGGACATTGTACTTCGAAAATTCTATCAAGCTATAACATTGCACATGAAAAATAAAAAATATAAAGACATTTTTACTTCGAAAAATCTACTCAATTATAAAAAAATGATGTGGTTGGTTGGCATTTGTAGAATTGGTTAGAGTTTTCAACATATAGCATTTTAATAAGAGAAAAAATAATACCAAGGGTTGTGTTCTTAAGAGCACGTCTTGCCATATTCACATGATCAAACTTATACTTCCCTGAGCTCCTGTTTTCTTTTACCTATAAAAAATGTCAACATTAACTAACACAATGTTCATAATTCAAGGGGGTGGGGGTGGGTAGGAGGCATATTTTTTTTACCTTGTTTATGAATTCTTGCTTCAACTCCAAAGCAAGTTGTTTTCTAATAAAAGATTGAACAACATGAACAGCATCAGGGTCTGCTACTTCCATCATGTCCATAATCTCACCTTCACCAGGGAGTGTTATTGCTTTTGAAATAAATTCCTAAATATATACCAATCAACTTAGTGTTCAATCACCTCAAATCTTGAAAACTATAACAACTAAAAGAAAAATACCTTGTCTAGACTCGAATCCAAAAGAATACATTTAATACCATGCACAAACTGTGGATCAAGAACCAATTTCTCATCTTTTTGAAAGTTAACAACTTGATTGAGCATCAGTTTCCTTGCCAATATTTGTCCAGCTTCCCAACTTCAATAATAATAATAATAACAACAGTTGAATGGCTAAATCAAGAAAAATGGTGAAACTACATAACATTTTGTCTTTCTTACCGATTAAATCCATCTGAATCATGAGCAAGAAGGAAAAACAAATCGTTTTCTGTGAGATCAGAGTGTAGGCGAATAGGAGCACTATAACCCCTTAACAGTGATGGAATCGGTTTTTCATCCAAATCATGGAATACAAATTCTTCTTCACCCTAAATTTAAATGATTTAGTTAGTAGATGGATAACTTGTATGGGGCCCTACAAAGTGTAAAATTACCTTTGTAACCCTGAGAACAGTAGTGTAGACATGCTGAGCACCAGATGTAATGGACACTAACTTCCCATCTTGATAGAAAGATGATAAAGGCATGTCTTTTCCACTTGAATCAAGAAGCCCCATAGCCACAGGAATGAACATTGGCTCTTTTAAGTGCTGACCTGGCGTAGGTGGCACTGTTTGACTGAAAAAAAAATACAATTAAAAAAAAAATCAAAATAATGATCAGAAGATGCTAGCTGAAAAGTTAGCTGCTAGTTGATAAAAAATGTTGTTTTATAAAAACTAGTTGATAGATGTAAAATGATATAGGACATGTAGAAAAATGATTCAATGCCATAAGAGAAATACCTAATACCTTTCATTGAGTTAAAATAGGTAATACATAACACTTCTCTAGTTATTTGTGTTTAACTGAAATTTTGTGCATCACATTTCATATTCACAATATTATCACGAATTTCTAAAGGCCCCAATCTTTTTCCATTGTATCATAGTTGTTCTTTACTTTTTTTTTTAATGAGATCTTTTACCAACCTTTTTAGATAAATATTTTTTCATTATATCATATATTTTCTAATTTAGATAATACCTTAATTTGATTATCAACTTTAAAAATAGAATTTTTAAAGTTGTTGAATGTTTTCTAAAATTAATAAGAAAAATGATAAGTATGTCTAATTTGTCGTAATCAGTAATCATCAATGTTTCATTGTAGATATCATGTAATAAAATAAGTCAAACAAAACCTTGTTTTCATGTTTCATTGTGTTGTTTTTATTTTTAAATGACATATTCATCATCAAATTACTAATACATAACATTTATTGTGGTTTTTAAAAACCAAAAAGGGTATATTCAGAAGAATTTCAAAAAAACTCCATAAGCTCTTTGAAACGATAGTCTAGGTAGTTTTTTTTTAGAAAAGGTAGTTTATAAGCTACTTTTTAGTTTACAGATATGACAACCCAAAAAGCTTAAAAATAAACTAGTTGTGGCATGTCAAACATAACCTTAGTCCCACATGATTTCTTTTTGGGTTAGACAAAAAATGTAATTTTGTCCAATTGACATCGGTTACGCTCAACCTCTTTAGGTGGAAAGGACAAAAATATTATATTTTTTGTGTTAGTATATCTGTCTCAGTCTCAGTCCAATGCACACAGTGTCTTAAAACTTACCTAAATTTCAAAGAGAATGTACGAGATTCAACATTGTAAGAAGATGTAACCTTCACGATAGGGGTACCGGCTTGTGAATACCTAAACATGAGTCATGTTTGTTAACATAATAATTATTTTAACAAAAACCGTTAAAAAAAGGTGGTAAAAGTAAAATACCATAATAAGAAATTAGCAAAATCCACATTGTTAGCATCTCTCATAGCAGCAAAGAAATCTTCACAAGTTACTGCTTGCCCATCGTGCCTTTCAAAGTAAAGATCTGTTCCCTAAAACAACAAACATCTATTCTACATTGCAATTAAGTGCTAAATGCAAAAAATAGCAAAATACTTTCATTTTTTCAGTATTATAGCATCTTATTTTTGTTTTCTTATATTACCTTCCGGAACCCTTCATTTCCCAATAAAGTTTTGTACATGCGGACAACTTCAGCACCCTTTTCGTACACCTGTAAATATAAATTATACAAAAAATGGAATTCATGATTTATCATCTTTTTGTTTATTCATGTCGAAATAGATCAAAGAGGAAACCAATGGTGAATATATCGGAACCATACCGTTGATGTATAGAAATTGTCCACCTGGAAGGCGGGGTGGGGGAAACAGTTGAAAATAGAGGGTAAGTTTTGAAACTTTAATAGAAAAAAGACAGTTTAAAAAATGTAAATGAGTTCTAGTCTTCTAGACCTTAATGTAAGAGTGAGGCCTAACAGGGTGAGCCATGGGTCCCGCATCCTAAAAAAGACAATGATTAATTACAATTAAGAAAAGGAAAAAAGCAATATTTAATTCATGTCCAGTTAGATTAAAGATGAAAACCCGTGAAAATTGATATGTACGAAGCTTTGAAACATCACCAATTCTCTTAACTGTACGACTACCTAAATCAGATGAAAATTCCTGCAAAACATGTTATAATCATTAAACGCTTATTAATGCAAATGATATAATATAATGATTTTTTTAATTCTACAACAAGATCTTACTTGATCACGAAAAACGGTAAGACCTTCCTTCAAACTCAATTGGAACCAATCACGACATGTCACCCTATAAAAATATCTATAAATCAAAAAGAAATTTTATATTTTTTAGCATATAATCAATAAAAGTTATATAAGCAAACCTGTTGCCAGTCCAGTTATGGAAATACTACAATATATAGAAGGGTATACATACACGTTATTATTTGAACAATTAAGTAATATATTTTTTCTTAAAAAATACCAAATGAATCAAAAATCTCAAACCTCGTGACCAATAACACCCAAAATTGCAGCATAATTTGCATCTGATGCGGTCTCCGGTGATGCCAAAACAAGCTTAGAATTGAAAATCTATTAAAAATGAAAAAAAAAACATTTTTTTTTTGGAAAAAAGATTATAGACTTTATAGCTATATAATTTACTACTACATGTCTATACACATACATTTAAGCTCTTGTTTTCCATGGCTCCCCTGTCAATTTAAAACCAATTAAAATGTAAGTAGAGAAATAAAATCTAGACAAATAAAAAAAACTTTTGCTTACAAGAAATCAGGAACAACTACGATGTTGAAGAGATCAAGATCATACTCTCGCCCAAAAACCTAAAGTAAGATATGAAAAGACAAAAATGCCCATGAGTAAATATGTAAGAAAAAAAGGTGGAAATGAGTATATGGAAAGAAGAACGAACATCTTCATCCCATTTCATGGCGGCTTTGAGAGAATACATGGCGTGTTCGGTTTTTGGGAGATCTTGTGGTGAGGTCCATATTCTTAAAGCAACTTCACGACCCGAGTATGTTGTGAAAGTGTCATCTCTGCTCTCTAATTGTCCTACAACTAATGCAAAAAGATAGCAAGGTTTCTTGAACGGGTCTTCCCAGACAGCAAAATGCTTCCCACCCTGAAATCAAGAACTTAATCTGGTAAGCTATATATGTGTGTTTCTTTTTTACTTAATGCATAAAGAACGGCTTAATTTGATAAGACATATATGCGTGTTTTTCTTTTTTACTTGGTGAAGAAAGAATGACAAGATTTTGTAAGGTATATATAGGTGTTTCTTTTTTTACTTAATGTAGACAAAATTTTATAAAATGTATATGGATGTTTCTTTTTCAATTAATAAAGAATGATAAATCTTGGTAAGGTTTTATACAAGTGTTTCTTTGACTTAATGCACAAACAACGACTTAATTTGATAATCTATATATGGTTGTTTCCTTTTAAATTATATATTGGTGTAATTATATTTTTTTTTAACCATAATAAGATAATACGTAATCGACAATTTCATATAGCTTGTCAAAATGAAACCAATCACCGTTGTTGCAACGTGCGGACACTTTACTAGAATATATAATATATATATATATATATATATATATATATATATATATAAGAAGTAAAGCAGATTATTAGCAAAAAACAAAAGCACACAAGAAACAATATTTATGTGATCCGTTAAAAGTGACTTACGTTTACAGGTAGGAAGGGAGTATTCTTTATTTCAGAGTTCTCAAACAGATGTTACAAGTAAAAATTCATAGAGATCCACCTATCACTCTAGAATACAAGACACTTTAAATGACTGGCATGCATCCTTATCTATACCGAAGGGATCAGACCTAAAACCCTAATGGGTCAAACCCATTATCTCATAGGCCCATGAAAGGTGTCAACCAATCATAATCCGTCATGCAGAAGCTTCTGGAACGTTCATCCATGACATACAACACATGAGTACCAACATCACACATGATGAAGTACCATAAGTCATAGTGGAGCATCATAATGCACATGTGGCGCATCATAAACACTAGTGACCCAACATCCATGATGGTGGCACAACATGGTGTACTCCTTGAGCATCACCAACTTCTAGAGTATCATTGAACAATCTTGAGCATCATAGAAGACTTTATAGCATACGTGACTCATCAGGGATATCATGGCTCATCAATGAATCAAGATGGCGCATCTTGCACCAAGATGGGCACATCTTACATAATGATAGCCCATACTGTATAAGGATGGCGCAACATCCTTCAAGCTTGGCACAACTTCCTTCCAAGGTGACGCGATTACAACTTCCTTCCAAGGTGGCACAAGATCTTCCAGGTTGGCACGTCTTCCACTTTGGCAAAACATGATCCAAAGTGGCGCAACATGTATGCCAATGGCGCAACATGCTTCCTAAATGGAGCAACATGTTTGCTACTTGGCGCAACACCTAATCAAATGGCACAACTATGCATCAAGTTTCCCCATTCCACTCCCAAGTGCTCCAAACCTCTTCCAGGTGCTCCATACCCTCGTTTAAACGATATGTTCCTTTGGAAGATGATTCATTCCCTTATCAGATGATTCATTCATTTGTTACATGCTTCATGAACCCAAGTGCTCCATTGAATTCGAATGCTCCATGAGAATGCTCTAAATGATCAAGTCATATTTAACTAATATACATACATACATGTATGCATGCATGAATACATACATACATGCATGCATGTATGTATGCATATTTGCCAAAAAAACTAGTATTTTTTTTGCCACATGTTTGTTTAACTTTATGATGCATCTAACCTGGTTCAAAGTTACAAATTGATAATGCCCGCCAGTTTTGCCTCAACTATCCTTTAACCTCGACTCCACTATCCCTACCAAGTTTCTCTTCACTTGATTTTCTTTTGTTTCATTTGATTTAAATACATAAGGTATACATTTCTAATTTGATATGTTTTTTATAAGTTAATTTGAAGAAGTCGGCTTATATAGTCATCAAGTTTTGAAGTAATTTGATCTTTTGTTGCATCGTGCTTAAATTCCAAAAAAAAAAAGTCTCTCTCTCTCTCTCTATGGGTCCAAATTTTCACAAATTTTGTTTATCGCTTGGTTGCAGGTTTTATGATGAAGCTTTCTAGCAAGAATTATGGAATCAAAAGAGTTTGTGTTGGTTCAATTCTCTCTCAATTTTTTTTTTTCGATTTGTATGGCTCGATTCAATTTAAAGATTAAAATTGAGGTCAATTTAAAACAAAAAGAATGATTTGGGGTTGCTCTTTTTTTTCTTTCTATTTTTGAATTGGAGTTTTGACTTACTTGACCATCAAAGTTTCAAATTTAACTCGGTTTAGTCCCTAAAGATTTATTCACGCTAAACTAGACCTTAAGGCCTGTTCGTTTTGCCCCGTACGACCTCCTAAAGCCGGTTACCCGGTTCTCCTGCCTACGTGGCATCATAAATTAGACTCCGAACTTGAAGCTTTTTAATTTTTTTTTAATTAAAATTAAACTCGGTTTTAAATCTTTTTAGTCAAAACTAAACTCGGTTTTATGTTTTTTTCGTACATTTTTTATTGTTTTTCATTTTTTGGTTTTATTTTTCAGTAATTTGATAATTTTTTTAATAGTTTTCAAAAGTGTAAAGCGTGTAAAGATATTAGAGTATATTACAATTTTGTGCTTTGAATTTTTTTTTTAATAATTTTGGTTATGTATGGTTTGCTAATTTCGTAATTTTTTTATTTCGATTGAAAAAAAACTATAACTTCAATGTGTGTGTATATATATATATATATATATATATATATATATATATATATATATATATATATATATATATATATATATATATATATATATATATATATATATATATAGTGAGGGCTCAAATATGTAATTTACTCAATTTTAATTAATTGGTAGACTTAATATAAAGAAATGTTAAATATGATTATACATGATAAATGTTTTCAACCGGTACAAATTGTTTGTTATAAAATTATAATAAATTAATTTATATATAAATGCTAACTTAGATTATTATATTCGACATAAACTTAATGTCATGAAGAAATAAATAAAATAGAAAAGAGGAATTTGGCATCACGTTTTTGATTGGTTGGAAATTCTTTCATATTCCTATTTGCAAATGTGTGTTTGGGAGTGTTTTGATTGACTTTTTTGAAATATCAAGAATTTATGTTCTTTAAAAAAAAATAACATTTTTCCTAAAAAAAATTAATGTTTATCAACTTTTTAACTTATTAACTTTTTAAAAAGAATTCCAAAACACCCAATCACATCCTATTCAATTGTTGCTGATAATTATATTTATTAAAATTCAAGTTTCATCCTAAGAGAATTGAGCATGGACAACACGATATAATGTTATGGGTTAGGTGACACCTCTTAACCTAATTATAACATGAGGAACACTGCCCTCCATTTCATGTTAATAGGCGTTATGTTATAAGATGTGGTAACGACAACATACCTCAACGAAAGAAATCAACAAATCACCATTTTCTTATTATTATTGTTCTTCTCTCTCTTTTCTTTCTAACTATGAACATGTTATAGCATTTCAACACCACCCCCACTTCTAGTTATGATATTAGATTATTAGTAGTGTGATGTGGCATGTGATGTGATAATTTTGTGGTGTTATAAGAACGACCTATACCTACTAGTCTAAGTCGTGAACAAAGAAGACGAAGTTGTGAATGACTCAATCAAAGAGGAATTCACATTCTTACCTTTGAAATGTATTTGGTAGGTTTTCGTGCACGCTAAAATTTCAAATCTTTGCTTATTGATACAATCTATACTTTTCAATCAAATAGTTTTGAAGAAGTGTCTATATATGTTGAAGTTCTCCACCTATCCAAAGGGGTCTTTTGGAGATACAATCTTGGGTTCCATATATATTTACAACTCCAACCACTAGGTCAAAGGTCTTTTGGTACATACATATGCTTTCTTAACATGGAATTAAAGAATTTTGTTGATAGTGTGCTTATTTTTGGAAAGAAATGAAGGAATTGAATAAAAAAAATGCCCCTCTGGCCATATATGAATTGTGGAAAAGGATTCATGAATATTGTCTATGAGGATGATTAATGAGAAGTTCATTTGAGACTCTTTTTTTCTTATTCCAGAATCAGTTTTAGCTGATAAAAACATTTTTTTTTTTTTTTTTCCAATTTCTTGCTTTTACCGTGGGAATAAAAAGGTAACACCCTTTTCAATGTGATGCAAATTATTCTGAAACAAGTTTTTGATGCCCATCTGAATCAGTAGTCTACAATTCCAATCACCAATCCATCTAAAATCAAGAGAGTTATATAATTTATTAACTTGTGATATCTTTCTCTCTTTTTTTTTCTTGTTCTTTTATGCATCCCCTGTTTGCAACATTTATTAAACCATATTTATAAATTTGGATTTTTACCTCATTTCCTTTATTTGTAATGCTAATAAAACCGAAGTTTGACAGATAAGTAGGTGTTTAAGGGAATTAATTTTTTGTTTAATTGAATACCCAAACCCCATAATAGATGGAAGAAGAGGTAACTATAATATAGCATCTCTTTGTCAGACGTGTATGTGTAAGTGTAAGTGCAACTGCCAATACAAAAAAGTTATGGTGAATGTATGTAAAACTTTCTTTCTTCTTTGGTAAATTTCAAACTTCCATTTACAATCATTTACACGGTTGTTTCTTTTTTACTTCATGACTTAATAGATTAGACATTTAATGTGGTGAGTTATACATGGTATGTTTCTGTTTTACTTTGTTTGTTATGGGTTAAGCCAAAAATATTGCTCTTAATGTATTAGGATACCAACCAATTACTCTCTTTCATGTTAAAATTGATGAATATTGTGAAACAATAGTCATGTTGGATTGTAAGGATAAAATAGTCATTTAGTTTTTGAAACAAATATGCAAGACTTGATCCAAACTTATATCATTCCCAATTCAGCCTCATAGTTTCTTTGTATAATGATTTTCTTTTTCTTGTGTTTTTATCATGATACCATCTTAGGTTAACATTAACCATAGCTTATATTTCAGAGATGCATGCAGTCTTTTTTATATCCTCTCAGGATCCAGCCGTTTTCTTCTAATTATAGCATTGCCCATATTCTATAATTAAAAAAAAAAACACACACACACATACACACCACAATCCAAAACTCCCTTTCACTATACATACCTTGAGTTGTCATGTCTAATAATATCAAAATCCAAAACTTCCTGTCATTATGGTGTATCCATGCATTGTTTGTCATGTCTTAAAAGACCAAGTGACCATATTTATTGTTGGCCCGAGGTAACTTGCACGTTTGGTCTCTAAATTTATTTTTTAAACTTGAAAGGTCCATATAATTTGTTTTTGTTGCACGTTTGGTCCCTATAGTTTGGGGTAATTTACTCTAATTTTATATGATTTTTTTTTCACACGTTTTGATGTGGTTTTCCCGATGCTTAGAGAACTTATCACTTATGGATTTTATATGCACAAATTCGTAATAAAATAAAATTGACTTTTGGGTCCATAAGTATAAAATATAAAGATGTGATGGAGAAAAAAGTAAAAGAGATGAAAGGAACTTTAACGGGTGAGTGATGAGTATTGAGTAGTGAGGGCAAATGTATATGGGAAAGGAATAGGGGGTGTGGGGTTGGTTATTCGTTTTAAGTCTATTTGGGACTATTTTGTGGCAAACAAACATTGACGACGCTCTATGTCCAAATTAAAAACTTGGGACTTAATTCTATGTATATATATATATATATATATATATATATATATATATATATATATTATATATATATATATATATATATATATATATATATATATATAAAACCATATGGACAATTTTTGTAATTTGACAAAATTATATAAATAGTCCACATGCTTGACAAAAAATCACATGTTCCTTCCTAACCCATGTAAAATATTCCTACTACCCTTTTTTAATTTTTTTAGTACTTATTTCTGTTTATATTAATGCTATATTAGAAGGCCATCCCGCCCCTCTTCTCCTTTACCTTCACAACCACCTCCATACATCACCAAAAAATTGGATATTTGGGATTTCGGATTGTAATAATAACATTTACAATTTCTAATATTCGTGTTATTAATACAATTATCGGATATTCAAATTAGTTATGGTAGTTAAAGAGTCTAAAAGTTGGGCATCATATGATTTTGAACGTATATAAATTGCTAACTACCATAACTAATTTGCTTTTAACCAAAATAACATTGTATTTATGATTGGTTAACCAAAACAACATACTTAGTCGTTAAATGAAAACAATTCATTGAAATTAAACCAATCATCTTCGTTTCAACAAGCATGTATTTTGCTAGTATATATATGAGTGTTTATTTTTTATTTAATATATGGGTGTTCCTTTTTTTACTTGATGTAGAAAAAAATTTGTAAGCTATATACGGATGTTTCTTTTTTACTTGATAAATAAAGAATGAAAAAACTTAGTAAACATAAGTTGTTTTTTAGTGTCTGACAATTTCTGCTTATAGATGTAAAATGACCAATATATATATATATATATATATATATATATATATATATATATATATATATATATATAATATATATATGAGAGAGAGAGAGTTAATATTGTAAATTGGTGTAAATAAGGCATAAGATATTTTAGATAATTTAGAACCCACTGACTTATGAAAAACTCTTTATTTACATAAACAAGCAAAACCCACTGACTTATGAAAAACTCCTTATTTATGTAGACAAGCACTTATAATTTTAATCTAGCCAAACACTGAAAACTACTTATCAACGATACCAAACCGCAATAAGCTAATAAGTACTTTAAAAAGCAATCCCAAACACCCCCTTGATCTCTAGTAAGCTATATATATATATATATATATATATATATATATATATATATATATATATATATATATATAGAGAGAGAGAGAGAGAGAGAGAGAAGTAGGTTTCGTTGAGATTCCGAAAAAAATAGAGATATTAAGATTTAACCTCAGCCATATATTTCTCATTTAGCGTTTCCACGTACCGGCGCGATGAGAGAGTTATAATCATAAATGATTATTCAGCGATGCCTATTCCTTTTTTCCCCACCACCATAACCGCCATCACCACTACCACCTTCGTCGCCTATACCACGGTCATCTTTGCCACCAACCACCATAATCATATATGATTAATCAATCTGTTACCAAACATATATATGTATAATCATTTATGATTAAACATCGATGTAAACATGTATAATCATATATGATTATACCTCTCTGCTATATAAGCATTTATGATTAGACATCTTACTGCTGCCGGTACAATGGTGCGTTAGAGCAGCCAATGAGAAATATACGCTGATGTTGAATCTCAATATCTTTATTTCTTTTTGAATCTATATATATATATATATATATATATATATATATATATATATAGAGAGAGAGAGAGAGAGAGAGAGAGAGAGAAAGAAAGATATATATGGGTGTTGTTTTTAATTTTATGTAGAAAGAATGAACTAATTTGTTAAACTTTTTATTCGGAAAGAATTTTCACCTCTAGGTCTCCTTGCTCAATGAGGTTTCCATTGGACAACAACACAGGGTACAATGACTTGTCAGCCTCAATATGACAAGTATATTTCGCCATAATATCAGGGCGATCCTAAAACCAAAATAATAATAATAATAATAGCAAGAAAAAGAAAAAAGAATAACTAGAAAACAAATAAATATCAATAATCAGTTGATATAAAGAACCTGAAAATAAGTTATCTTTCTGAAACCTTCCGCTTCACATTGTGTGCAGAAATTACCAGACGACTTGTAAAGACCCTACAAAACATTACAAACATTAATCAAATTTTATCGATTTCTATAAAGAAAAAACTTGCATAGTAACTTTCTTTACCTCAAATGATGAGTTCTTTTGTAAAACTTCGGTTATGGTTTCCAAGATAAAACTCCCACTTGGAGGTGCTTTGAGAATTAGATGTCGAGCATCTAAATGATAATATCCCTCCTAAAGAAAAAAAAAAAAAATGTAAGCTTTGGGTGTTTTTTTTTTACTTGATGAACTTAATGTGGACATAACTTAATTTGAAAAAGAATGACTTAATAAATGAGCTCAAGGAAACGAGGCTTTCCACATTAAGTAAAACTTCTCACAAATTTTCTCTTCATCTTTTCGTTCCATTTCCAAAATGAATCCTCATTTTCTCAAAATACAAATAATTAACATCATTTATCAAGAAACTTAAATGGAAATTTAGCGTTTCCATACCTCCAATTCATTTCCACTAATCTTAATTGAAATCAGCTTGAGATCAATCCCATCCAAAACCAATGGAGCAGCGACACCTATCGAAAAAACATCCGTTCACTAAACAATCAAGAAAATAACATAACTTTGACTCTGTTGCACATCTTTTCATTTAATCAGTATATATTATTAGAAATTAATTAATATACTTATTTTGGAAAGAAAAAAAGTGTATCTCAATGAAAATCACAAAGCAGACCATCGACTCTAGGGACAACGCTGATTTTTGCACACACGATTGTCGTTTCTTCACCCAATGAAAAACTTAAATCCACCTGGATTAAAAATTCATTAACTCAAAACAAAAACCATAAAAAAAAAAAAAAAAAAAAAACATGCATTTTAGTTGAACAAAGTACTACAAACCGTATCAAAGTAGTAATCGGGTAATTTGTAATCTTTTAGGAAAATCTCTTTAGGAACCTCCATTTTCGATTCTTCAAATGATATTGATAAGGATCGGGTTGCCACAGAACAAACGAGTCTCCTACTCGTTTAATTAGTTCTCTAAAAATCAAACATGAATCATTATTAATAAAGAATTAGAAAAAGATTAACCGCTGAATAACGGTAATGCAATCGATAACTTTTGTGGAAATTTTTATTAAGTCAACCAGATAAGAATCAAGAACACAAACGAACTTAAAGATTAATAAATGGTATTCGGTAATCATATGTGCAGACGAAATCAAACCCAATAGAAAACTCATCGGCAAGCTCGAACGTTTGCAGTTTGCATGGAATAATCAATCGAGCCATGGTCAACTAATCAAGATTCCAGTAAATTCGAAAAAAAAAAAAGGTATAAATTATTATTGCAGGAAAAAAAGATATCCAGATAAACAAAGCCCCACAAAAAGAAATAATAATAAATCTAACCATTTTAAACCCTAAGTCCCTAATTGATACAATCGACTGTGAAGTGAGCTACCAGTTGGTGTTTCTTATACGGCTTGTATACAAGATAGGGTTAATTTGAAATAATGGTCAGGAAAAATCTGCTTAAAAACACGAAAATGAAAGATGAAATTACCTTTATTCGATCTGAGTGATCAGTGATGGGGTGGGAATCGGAGAGCATCGAGCAAACGTAAGATGAAACAAAGATAAAAAACAGAATCGGACCAAAGAGAAAGAGCGGATATTTAGTCGTCTAGATAAAGTTTTGATGATGATAACGTATAGATGGGTATGGCCGTGTTAGTTGGATTTGTAACTTTTTACAAATTAATTACACTATTTTTTTCTTAATCAAAAGATTTATTTTGTAAATTGTAATAATCTATAATCCCTAGAAAATAGTATTTGGCATTTTGGCATGAAAGGGGTGTAAACGGGATCGGACATCCAACTGGAATTGACATTTTACTAGAATCAAGAAAGTTAATAACTTTCCTGGATCAATATAAGGAGGGGCGGAGCGTCAACATTTGATTTGAGTGGTCGGAAGTATAATATGTATAAAAATTGGTGAATAGTGGGTCATGACCAAAATTTTATAATTTTGGGCCTAATATGAACAAAATTAAAGTAGAGGGACTATATGTAACAAAAAAATTAAGCTCCCCCCCCAATAAAGCTTTGCCCCTGAATATAAGGAAATCGGTTCCGGGTACGGGACTGGGTACATCGAGTTAAGTTTATAAACAAACGAACACGAACAATGTAAATTGTTTAACGAACAAACATGAACAAGAAAAATCGTTTATTTATCCATTCATTTGTTTATTCAGTTATATGAACGAACAAACATGAACAAACATTTGTTTGATTTGTTTACAATCATATATCAAGTTATAGAACCACTTAGGATCGTTTGGAACTAGATTTTGAGTTGGAACAGGATTTGGATTTGGAATCGAAATTGTTTTAGAACTGGAATTACGGCTTATCATGACTCTTGAAAAGTGAATGATTTATCAAATAAAAAAATTAGCTTTTATTAAAATAGATAAAAATCAAAATCAAATTTAATACCTCTTGTTTGTGGGTATGTTAGTAACTCGATACATATCAAAATAGAGTATTTTTGGAGTCTAAAATAAAAACAAATAATTAATTAAACATTGAACTACATTTTAGAAAAGTTTAACCAAAAAGTTAAATTGGTCAAAAAGTCAACAACCAGCGGTCAAAATATTGCAACTGGTCCGCACAATCCCCGACAACGAACCGAAAGGCGGCACACAAAGACTGTGAAACCGGACCTGTCCAGAAAAAAGAAAATCGGATCATTTTAAGATCGATCTTAAAAAAACACATACGAGACCTGTTTGGGACCACCAACATCCATGTGTAGTTTTTAACCAAATTTTTTGTTGGATAATCTTTTAGGTTATGCAATTGGGCCTCTAATTTTCCTCGATTGTTATTTGGATTCATTATTTATATTATGAAATGAGATAAATCAACATATTTTTCGCTTCAAATATCGGTGTGTTAGGTAAATTTTATTCCTCATGCATATCATGTTGGTTTCCTAAAAAATCCATCTGAATTATAAGAAATAAACATTCCGCAAATTTGATGGAGTTGATATCATTATTCCAAGAAACAAATATACATTAAATTCTTAAGTTAGATAAAATTTATGATTTGGATTCATACCATTGTTACATGAAATAATTACAAATATGAGTCACTGCCATGGAACTTTGTTATGATAGAGCTTTGTAATGTTCACTAGAAATGTTATTTTCGTTTATTTAGGAATCTAAAATCCATACATAACTTGGGTATAATTTTTTATCAATTGATTACTGAGTAGATAAAGCAATTTGGGTCAAGAAATGACAATGTAAATTGTTTGTTGAACTGTTCGTGTTTTTTAGTATATTTGTAAGCCCACTATCAAGTAAATGGAGTGACTACCTAATAGCCCACTGCACATTCCTGTCAAATAGTTAATGAGGAAATATATATATATATATATATATATATATATATATATATATATATATATATATATATATATATATATATATATATAGAGAGAGAGAGAGAGAGAGAAAGAGAGAAAGAGTTAGGCTCGTATATAAATCTTAGTTATTGTGTGAAACGTATGATCAAATTTTATCCATTAATTTTTAATACCCAAATAAGGTAAGATGATAATTTGACTTTTCTATATCAATTAATGTTATATAATAACCAAAAATAAAAACATATAATTAAGGAAAAATAAATATAAATAACACGTATCTTGCCTATGACTTTCATCGTTGTTGGATGCTATCTTCATCACACAACCATCATCGTCCGACCTCCACAATCATCTTCTCCACAGGTACAATCCTCATTAAGTGTGAAACCCCATGTGAAGAATTGTCTCATTCTTTTGGTCCGGTAGATAAAAAACAATATTTTGAAAAATCGAGTGGTGAATCGATTCATAGGAGCAATCTGATTTTTTTAGAATCATTTTTCCAATTGATATTCAGATGCTTTATCTGGCTAATAATATCAATGGATGTTCTTGTAAATCTCTTGCGCCTTATTTTTGTTGCTTCACAACCTGTTGCTACACATGAATGACAATATGTAGATATATGTGGCTCATTTATTCAGGTGGACACGCCCCACTGATAGCCTTATTAATGTGGGTGTTTTCTTTTGTAGTGGTAAGTTTTGTAGTGGTAATTATGGGTTTAACGTTTTTTTGCTTAATTTGATTGAGGGCTTAACTTGTTGTGGTTTAATGATGAGGCATGGTGTTATGATATAAAGGATAGTAAGATACATAGTTGAAGTCCCATGTCTAGTTAACTAGTGAATTTGTACATTTACATCTACTAAATCTGAGGTTGTTGTTACTTGCTTTTGACTTGGTTATTGTGTTCATTGGTCATGATAAGCATGTTTAAAGTGTAGATTGAATGAGAATGACTTTTCTAATAAACCAAATAATAAGATACCTTCCAATTCAACAAAGGCTTTCAATAAATTCATCAAAAAATTCCCCTAATGACTAATCATCCTATCACCAATGTTATGTAACAGGTATGTGTTGCTACTTTCTGTTCAAAAAAAAAAAAAATTATTCTTTGCCATATGTTTACTTCATTGTTACATATGAATCGATGTAACATGTTTGTTTAATAAAATGCCTAAATAAAATCCCTTTTTATTTTTCAAGTTTTAAAATCTTATTAATTAGGCTTACTACTTTGCCAACATGAATTCTTTATGATGTGTTACAGCAATTCATTATGCTTTATTTTTGTTGCAGGAATAGAACAAAGATACTTTCTGCTAATAAGTTATGAACAAATATATATTCTATCAAAAAGTTATGAATCCATACCACCTAAGTGATCTAAAACTTCACTTTAGGTCATATATTGCAAGAATAATACAACATATGCATGTTTGTATTAATAGTGTTATGTTATTCTTTTAGAATTTCTTTTATCTCTTTCATGTATTATTCTTAAAGAATGTTTTTTATTTTTTTCAAAAATCTTATTCTACAAGAATTTTAGTTATCTAATAACATGTAATTCCTTATTCAATATAAATGCCATTTATTTTTTTTAAGATTGTAACTATTATTCTTAAAAAATATAATATATCTTATGACATTCTTCAAGAATCCGATTCATAAGAATGAAGACGATCAAAACAATTTTCAATACAAACTTATTCTTTAAGCATGTGAATGATTTTGAATGGAAACCGAATTATATTCCTGAGAACATCCAAAAGAATCTCCAATAAAAAAAAATAATTTAAAAAATGGGAGTGATAAGAATGGAAATTAAATTCTATAAACATATAAAAACAGTTAATTTGTATTTCTAAAATTTGTTTATTATTAATTAATTTGATTTAGTTGCCAAAAAATACATGTAATTTTGATTTCTCTCTCTTAATAAAATGTCATATTTGCCTTTATAACCAATTAAGTGTAGTTATATAGTAAATGTTAGTTCATCTTATTACTATGTACCCTAAGATCATATCAATTCATTTATTTTAATTTAATGGTTAAAATTTGATCATACATTCATAATTATACAATAGTTATGATTCACATTTGATCGTGTATATATATATATATATATATATATATATATATATATATATATATAATATATATATATATATATATATATATATATATATATATATATATATATGGAACCAATTATTGAACAGGACAATTTTTATAGCGGTATTTTTAAGAAAAAAAAAATCAATATTTTGAATTTTTTTTCCAAATAAAATCTAATTCTTTTTTAATAAATCAAATAAAAAACTTGATCATTTTTTTAAATCCAATATTTTGATATGTTTTTCTGAATAAAATCTTATTCCGTTTTTATAAATCAAATAAAAAACCTATCATTTTTTTTTTCTTTCTACAAGGTTTTCAAGATCACTACCAGTAAAGAGAATCAATTTCATGCAAATAAGAATCAATTTCAAGAGTGGTCCATGGGTTATAATAAAGTTGAAGGTTTGTTTATCAAGCTTTTTTGTAACAATATTGTCTAAAGTATAACCCATCTAAAATTATATTTTTATCCATCTTCTAATACATTTGCGTATCACCTTTTTTTGACTTTGGATCACATTTTTCTAACTAGAGTAAATTCCAAAGGGAATAATAAAACCGTGTATCACATTTTCGTGGGATGTAATGTTGCGATATTTTATGGCGTTTTAATTGGTATTTGATGAAATATTCAAGTTTTGTATTTTGTTATCGCTAAAGATTTTGTTGGTTGGGTTGATCATTTAACACTATCTTTCTCTAAAAATAAATGTTTCAATGTGGCTTTTCTCGCAGATTTGAACCATTTCGTCTTTTCGCAATATATTTATTTTCAACACTCAAAAACCAAGAAAGGAAGACATGTTAAATAATATTGTGCATCAAGTCGTTTTGTTGAATCTCTAGTACATTTCCTATAACGAAGTTGGATCTGATTGGTTGGATTAAAGATCCAATAACATTTTTATATTATTTTATGTTGAATAATATTGTGCATCAAGTCGTTTTGTTGAATCTCTAGTACATTTTCTATCATGAAGTTGGATCTGATTGGTTGGATTAAAGATCCAATAACATTTTTATATTATTTTGAATTTGAAACGGTAAAAAATTTAATAAGTCAATAAATATCTCATTTTGTTCAACCCGTATAGCTTGGCTCTCTGGCATCTCCTCTACATATAAAGACTTCTTTTAAATTTGGACTTGTAATTGGAAGGATTTACTTCAACTCTTAAGCCAATTTGTTTTGTTTATTGTCATAGCAATAATTAATAGTATTGGTTTATATATTTAACAATTTCCTTTTATGTCTTTGTTTGTCTGTGTATAATTTGGTTATTTGTAATTGGCAAATTATTTGATTTTTTTATTGATTTCTATGTTTAGTTTCTTTAAATGGTTTTCTCTTAGGAAG